CCCCCCCCTTCCTTAGTTCCTAAATGAAAGTGTAAACCATCTTGTAGTATGCGGTCTGTAAAATAACACATGACTTCAAAGGGGATGTTTTGTTTGCCACTCTTTAAACAAGTGAACATGTTTTTGGGAAAATAAAAGAGATTATTACTTTTTACAGTTGTCAGTGACAGCTCGTAGCATTAGTCAATATCACCTATGCACATCTCTAGATAGAAATTGCTGAGTACTCATAAAAGCAAAGTGTCTAAAAAGATCATGACTTTTTTTTTTGGGGGGGGGGGGTCTTCTTTAAAATCTGAGTTGGTCGTTTGGAGATTGAATACTGGGGAAATGACCACTACGACCCTGTAAGCAAAGTAGAATCAGTTGTTTAAATCTTTGAACTTTCTAAACAATACATTGAAAAAAGAGGCAATCTTTTGTTGCTAAGAAGTAATCATTAGATCTATTGATCACTACACACGAAGGTAGCAAAGCCCATCTCACTGATTTTGACATTGTCTTTAATATTTTCCCTGCTGGGATGAGAGTTAAAGATGAGATTCAGATCGGCAGGAAAAAACACGACATAATAGTAGTCATTAACCCTATCCGTACGTCGTTTTTTTTACTATCGTATCCATAGGACGTGGGGAACTCTGTGCCACCACTTTCCAAAGAGGAAATTTACCTGTTAATTCGATCCGTACGCTTTGCCTAGTAGTCTGTCAAAATGATTTTTTGAGAAATACTGAAAGTTTCAAAGAGATCTTGGTACTAAAAGTATTCTTAAATGTGAAGAATACAACTACGGGGGTTCAAAATGCCCCCAGGACGTACGGATAGGGTTAAAGGTGAGATTCAGTACGGCATGAAAGAACACAACATAAAAGTGGTCATCAAAATCACTCAGTAACGAAGTCGTGACAAATTGAGACAAAAACTTTTCGAAAAAAAGGCGCTCCATAACCGTGGCTGCGTTTTAGACCACGAAAGGTGTCAAAGAAAAGAATCTATGCCTCACGTTTCAGTTGACCCACCGTGTGATGCCCCTCCCTCCCTCCCTCCCCTCTTGCCCCCAAAGAGTGTGTTGCTTTATGGTGGGAACATGACTCACCTGAGCTGTAAACGTCAAGGAAGAAGGACAACTCCTTTCTTCCCGGAACTTGGGGTTATCTCCCCCGCTGAGTGGCTGTAAAGTGATCGGCCCTCGATATCCTGGTGAAAACCCCAGGGGCAAACGAAAGTAGCAACACCGTAAAACGCCTCCTATCAATCAAATATTCCAGCAATGTCGACGTTTAGTTCATTTTGATGTGTTTCTCGTGTAGTCATCTTTCTGAAGGGGTTGCCGTCTCTTTGAGAAATGTATTGTGAATATTACCAAGTTAAGCCAATAGTACGCCTTTAAACGCTAAAATAAAAAGGACTGCTTTGATCATCCTTTAAAACTTTCATGAGCATCGTATTTTTAAACCAGCAGATTAAAACATGGAATCTGATTCAAGGACGCACCCATATTGTGCATGCTTGATTATGCATGATTTAAAAAATGAATTCCCTTGAATTATCTATCTATCTATCTATCTATCTATCTATCTATCTATCTATCTATCTATCTATCTATCTATCTATCTATCTATCTATCTATCTATCTGTCTGTCTGT